AGAGTCTCAGGACCTTGCCGTGAGCAGAGCAGTTCGTCACCCCCATGCCATCGGGGGCTCCGAAGATTTTCGAGACCTTGAGCTGAGCTCTTGTTGGCTCTTCACCCTCTTTGCCTCCCACATGAAAGTGTAGTATTACTATTGTTTTGTTTCAGTCAGTGAGGTTTACTGTACAAGAAGCCTGCATCTTTGCCTGTCTCAGTAAAGTATAAAATTTTTATTTAAAAAAGCTTTAATCTCTCAAATCAAGAAGTTTTATTTTCCAATTGAATTTGCCCTTTATGGCCAGTTCTCCACATAGAAGCTAAGTTAACGTGATTGGGCTTTTAAGCTGGATACTTTTTAACTACTCATTTGTCTTCTCTCGGGCAAATGCTTATTATTACTTTAAAATATACCATAGCCTGAATGAATATTGGTAAAAACTGAATATTTGATGTTCTCATTGAAAATTAACTTAAAATATGTACTTAGCGGAGATTTACTAGAGCCCATCTAAAAACAGCAGTCATTGGATAGTTGTGGAGTTCATTCCAACTCAAGGGACCTTTATTGACGAGAACTTCCCTGTAGTTCCCTAAGGAGCATTGCTGGTGCCATGGGTTACACAGTGCGCTGCCCATCCCAAGGTCAGCAGTTCAAAACCACCAGCCACTCCACCAGAGAAAAAATGTGACTTTCTACTCTTATAAAGGTTTACAATCTTAGAGACCCAAGGGGCCATTCTACCCTGTTCTGTAGAGTTGCTGTGGATCACAGTTGCCTCGATGGCAGTGAGTTTGGTTTTTTTTTTTGGTTTTGTAAATAGGGTTCCCAATGCTGTCATCTTTACAGAAGCAGACTACCATACCTTTCCCCTGTGGAGCAGCTAGGAGGTTCCCAACCTTTGGGCTGGCAGCTGAGCACTGTGCTGCAAGGGCTCCTTTATTCGGTATCACAATAAGGCAACAAAATACTAGCGGTAACCTGAAACATCTCAAATTAATTTGAAAGCAAGAAGGGAAGAAGTAGCACTTCTAATTATTTTATTATATTTACCGAAGATATCTATTGTGTTAGTCGGGGTACATTAGAGAAATAAATCCACAGAAACTCATATGTATGATACACAGTTTTATATAAAGGGTAAGTGTACAACTCATATGTATGATACACAGCTTAGTATAAAGAGTAAGTGTACATTAAGAAAGCATCCCAACCCAGTGCTGTCCAACCCCATAAGTCCAACATTAGCCCATATGTCCCGACACCAATCCACAAAGTCCTCCTCCATCTCACAAAGTATACACAATGACACCGACTGCAGGAGGAAAGCCGAATCAGTGAGCATGTAAGCATCTCAGCGCTGGCAGAGGTCTCCACATGGCTGCTCCAGCACCCAGGGCTGCATCGGATAGGTCCACGTGGCTTCTCCTCAGGGATGTCTTGCAGGAAGTGAGGCTTGCCGGCTGAAGCAGGAAGCTGACTAAGGCAGCTGCACCCTGGTCCGACCATCAGAAAGCAAGAGACCCAAGAACTAGAACTCGAGGTTCACATTTATCTCTCCACCATTAATCCCACGTGTTTATCAACCAGGTTGGCACTATAAACTTTAACTATCTCACCTATAATAGTCCCGTTTTAAGATTTCTTTTCCAAATTTAGTACCCCTAGGCCTGTATTGTCCACTTACCCACTGCACTGGTCAAATTGTGGCTCCAAAGTGAGCAAGGAGCCCTGTCCTCCAGTTAGACCTCAAAAGGGCCCGCAGGGAGCTGCCAGAACCCAGCACCCACAGAGTGGGTCTACAAAGCACCATCCAGAACATTAAAGTGTTTGGAAATGGCTCGATTAAATAAAGCCTAACAGCTTTCTTTTCCTACAGATCTCTCAAAAGTTTTAATGTATTAATGTAGCACATGAATCTCTAAGGAGAAAAGTATTATTAGTAGTCAGTTATCTAAACTTATTTCACTATGGAACTGACCTTATTTTGAGGACTGAATTGATTAGAAAGCATTTTGAAACATTAAAAGACAGATCCAGTACAGGTACCACACACACACACACACACACACACACACACACACACACACTCTACATTCCCATCGTGTATGTTGAGAAACCAAACCTCAAGATCCTTTGGTTAAAATAAAAGCAGAATGTTTACTGAGACCCTTTAATGTAAAACTCTGCTAAAGTAGTTGACCATGTTCATGAAATACTGATTATTTCTGGGGGGAAACGTAATCCCCTTGAGTTAAGTGTAAAGGAAAACTATCCAGCTATTCCTTGCTTGCTCAATTACTGTCAACCATTGTTCTCTTCAAACCTACTTTTATTCTAAAAACTTTACGAACTTGCTCTGGGAACGTGCTGACCTTACACTTCAGAAGATGCCTCCTCAGTTAACTTGCTTTCTCCACTCTCAAGCAACGAGGCCAGTGCCGGTGCTTCCCAGGGTCCAGCCTAGGGACTGAGGCCCAGACAGGACACGGGGTCTCCCTCACATGGTAGAATTGAGCTTGGAAGAAAGATTGTATTGCTGCTCAAAGGCAAAACACTGATTTGCCTTATAGATTTCAAGTCTTCAACAACAAAAAGGTTTGCACTTAATATACATCAATGGATAGACAATCACTAGTCGGACAGGGCAAGATAAACAAAGCCCAAACTCAACTGCCATCTCGCTGATTCCGACTCTGAGTGACCCTCTAGGACAGGGTAGAACTGCCCATGCGAGTTTCTGAGACTGGAACCCTTTATAGGAGTCCAGTGCATAACCACTCCTGTGGCGTATGCTCCTATAAATAGTTCTAATCACTAGAAACTCTGATGGCGTAGTGGAGTGGCTGGTGATTTCAAACTTCCGACCTCGTGGTTAACCACTACGCCACCAGGGCCTCTAGTCCACCTGTAGCAGGTGAGAAATTTAGTCTAGAGATGATTGAAATACTCACCTCAAGGCAGTAAGTATGCATGTCGTGTGTCATGCCCTTCTGAGACTGTGTTCTCCCTGCCCAGTTGCCAGTAGCCTTGCCCACCCTGGCCTGAACGTCAGTCACAGCAGTAGTTGCTTACATGCATGTTCCCGCAGTGTTCGTTCTGGTGAAGTTAGGCTGCTAAGCTTTGCCCCAGTGGACATATCGACCTTTGACTTCCAGCCTCACGAAGGTCCCCTTGCCTTTCAGGTATTCTCCGTTGCATAACGTCAAGTTGCCGGAGGCAGACGATGTCCAGTACCCGTCCATGCTTCTCCTCACAGCCGACCACGATGACCGTGTGGTCCCGCTTCACTCCCTGAAGTTCATTGCCACTCTCCAGTACATAGTGGGCCGTAGCCGGAAGCAGATCAACCCCCTGCTCATCCACGTGGACACCAAGGCGGGCCATGGGGCTGGCAAACCCACAGCCAAAGTGATAGAAGAAGTCTCGGATATGTTTGCGTTCATAGCGCAGTGCCTGAGCATCGAGTGGATCCAGTAAAGGGCGTGCTCAGCTCTCCTGCCTGCCACGGACGACTCAAGGGCTCTGCCACGTTACAGCCCAGACACCCCCGCCCACGCTGGACACCCCACGAACACTCTTCTGCACGCATGGGCTGCGGTGGGGCAGAACTCGTGTGGGAATTTTATCTCTTCTTAGGCTTCTTTTTAGCAAGCCCTTGGAGTCCCTTTTCCACCCCTGTCCAGGCACAGGTTTTTAAAAAAGAAAACGGGGAGGGAATGGGTTTTTTTGAAGGCATGCTCGATTAAATAGCTGAGTGGCAGCCAACACATTGTGGGTCCTAGATGGCTGAAGTAAGAGTCATAGCTGGATACCTCCTATATAACACGTCAGTGGAACTTGCTTCTTTAATCATAACCTGTATATCTCTAAGTAAGTGTGAGGTCCGTTCTCATATGAAAAGACTACTTTGCAACAATAATAAATGCTATTTAAGAACGAAAGGCTGTACTTTGGGTTCCTTTGTGTTGAGGGGCAACTCAAGAAGTGCTCTCCTCCCAGACCCCGAGGCTCTGCTGCAGAAATGAAGCATCCTGTCACATGGCGATTCCAGTCACAGAATGTTGGCGCTGGGGAGGACTTGGGCTCCTCCACTCCAACCCTCTGTTTACACACCATGAATGTGGTCATCATTTCTTTTTGGAGAATTGATGCCAAACTAGTCCCAAGGAGTTGGAGATTGAAGAAGTCCCAAATTTCCAACTCTCCAACATGCTTATCTGCTCTGTTATTCTCCCACTCCTCCCTTGTATTGATTCCTTCACATTTCTGCATTCTGTGAATCACTGCCACGTCCCACGAGAACACGTGAAAGTTTGAGGAAATGTCTCATGTGGTGCTATAGGTGCTGTTCAGTTCAAAACCCAAATGTCAGTCAAAGCTAAACTGGGTCCACGGGACATGCTCAATTCCTGGCTCTTGCTGCCACACCCCCTGCTTCCCAGAGGGCTCGTTTTGTATGCAGTAGGATGGCATTGCAGGCAGACCTTGTTTACAATGACTCCCAGTTTAATCCTATCAGTCTCTTCCTCTTCCTCCTTACTAAGGTGACCAGATTTTAACATTGGCAAAGCGGGACACCATTGATAAAACTCATATCCTGGTGAAATAGCCACATGGTAGCCGAAAACCATATACCCTAGCTTGTCCTGCATTCTTTCCAAAAATCGGGACTTTTTAAAAATGCCGTGGGACACAGGAAAAATTGTTCAAAAGCAGGACTGTCCTGCCAAAAGTGGGACGTCTGGTCGCCGTATCCTTACCAGACCCATGCAGGGAACGATTATTTGGCAGGATTTACGTTGATGCAATGGTGCAATCAAGTTAACATATATAACAGATACAACAATCTATTCTCCATCCCTGGACTGTTTCTTGTTATGCACGTATGACCTGGGTTCCTGTAGACATTGCCCTCCTGCTAATCTTGGTCCGCCAGACTTTTTCTCAGGCCACTTCAGAAGCAGTGTTTCCTCTCTCAGCTATAGCATGTCATTCCTTACATCCATTACAAGTAACAACAACCAGGATAACCATTAAACAGAATGTGACCCGATTGACAGATGTGGCTACGGTCAGATCTTAACCTCATCCTATTCCTCGTTGTCAACAGATAATGCACTCCAAAATGGAACTATAGCCACAGCTATATGACATCCAGAATTATATCACATAAGAGATTAAGGCTGGAAGGGCCATATTGGATACAATTCACAGCTTCTCAAGTAGGCTAGCTGTCTTAGAAGGGAGCAGCTCGGCCAGTTGAGTCTGATAAAGGCCCATTTGGATGCCACTTTCAAAAAGCAGTGGAGCTGGCCTGGAATTGTCAGGTTATTCACTTGTCTTCCTGAAACTACAATCCCTTGAATATAGGAGACTAAGAGACCACATCAGTGAACTACATCTAAGCAGATAGCATTGATCCAAGCTTATCTGACAACCAAACGTCAGCATTTCCCAACCTATTTTTCTTTCACAGATTACTTCCTGAAACAGAAATAAAACTAAACTCAGTGCCATTAAGTTGATTCCGACTCATAGCAACCCTATAGGACAGGGTCGAACTACCCCTGTGGGTTTCTGAGACTAACTATGGGAGTAGAAAGCCTCACTTTTTCCCGCAGAGTGGCTGGTGGTTTGAAGCCTTGTAGTTTCAGGTGAGCAGGTCAAAGCATAACTACTAAAGGACTAGGGTGCCTTCTTAAACTAGAAAAAAAAAAAGTTTTGTGCATTAATGCGTTTGGAAGTCAATGGATTCAGCAAAGGGTTAAGAATTCCAAACAGACTGGCATCAAGTCAGATCTAGTAGAACTGCCCTGGGGGTTTCCAGTGCTGTAATTCTTTACAGGAGGAGAAAGCCTCACCTTTCTTCCAACAAGCTGCTGGTGGTTTTGAACTGCTGACCTTGCTGTTAGCAGTCCAATGTATAATCCATTGTACCACCAGGGCTCCAGCAAAGGGTTGTTAGGTGCTATTGGGTCAGTTCCAATCCACAGCAACCCATGCACAACAGAATAGCACACTGATGGGTCCTGGGCCATCTTCACAATTGCTCCCATTCCTGAGACCGTGTTGCAGCCACTGCGTCAATCCATCTTGTCAAGGGCCTTCTTCGTCGCTGCCCTGTCCTTTACCAAGCATGATGTCTTCCAGGGACTGGTCTCTCCTGAGAACATGTCAACAAGATGACGTCTCATCGTCCTTGCCAACAAAGAGCAGTCCAGCTGTGCTTCTTCCACTAGAGACCTTTATAGCCTTTCCGCTGTCCATGGGGCCTTCAATAGTCTTCTCCTGCCCCACAATTCAAATGCATCCATTCTTCCGTCTTCCTTATTCATTGTCCAACGTTCACATGGATATGAGACAAAAATGCCATGGCTTTGGAAAGTGTGCCTTAGTCCTCAGAGTAACATCCTTGCTTTTCAACACTAAGAGGTTTTTTGCAGATTTCTCCAAAGGGTTAGGGGGAGAGAGGAAGGAAAGAAACCTACCCCTACCCCGTCAATTTTAAGTTAGAGGACCTGTCAGAGCTTTAGGAATGTCAAGATAGTCCGGAATCTTTGTTGTTAGGTTAGGTACTCTTGCAACGGATTACAACCCCTAGCAATCCCAGGAAAGAGCAGACTGTTCTAGAGTGCTCCCTAGGTTGTCACCTTTATGGAGGCAGATTACCAGGTCTTTCTTCTGTGGAGCACTGGGTGGATTTGAGCCACCATTCAGTCAGTTAGCAGTCAAGCACTTAAGTGTGTGCACCACCAGGGATCCTTCATGAACCTTTAAGAGAAGGATATGTTGTTGTAAGTAGGGTGTTGTCAATTTGGTTCTGACTCATCATGACCACAGTATGACAGAACAAAAAATCGCCCAATTCTGCTCCATCCTTCCCGTCTTTGCTGTGGTTGAGGCCATTGGGTCAATACATTTGAATTGTGGTGCTGGAGACTACTGAAAGTATCACGGACTGCTAAAAGGATAAACACAACTGTCTTGCAAGAAGTAAGGACAGAGTGTGCCTTACAGGTAGGGATGGAAAGCCTTCTTCTTACACACTTTGGATCCGTCCAGAGAGACCAGCCCTTGGAAACACATATCATGTTTGGTAGGGCGGCAAAACAGAGACAGACCCTTGACAAGACGGAGGGACACCGTGGCTGCATCAATGAGCTCCGGCATAGGAGCAACTGTGAGGGTGGCACCGGGCTGTGCCATGTTTCTTTCTGTTGTGTGTAGGGTCACAGTGGGTCAGAGCCAATTCGATGTCACCAAACAACCACAGTGGTGTACTCGTCACGCGTGGGGCTGTGGTCTGCAAGGTCACCAGCAGCTCCACAAGAGAGAGCTGGGCTTTCTGTCCCCACAAGGAGTCACTCTCGGACGCTCACAGGGACAGTTCCACCCTGTCCTAAAGGGTCACTATGAGTCTGCATAGACTCAATGGCAGTGAGCTCGGAGCCCTGGTGGCACTATAGGCTAGGCCTTAGGCTGTTAACCACAACTTTGGCCATTTAAGACCATTAGCACTCCCTGGGGGAAAAAGATGCAGCTGGCTGTTCCCACAAAGCTTTACAATTTCCCAAACCCTAAAGTGAGTCAGAATTGCCTTGATGGCAGTGGGCTTTCTATAAAGTACCTTCACCTGTAGAAAATTGTTTTCTAGATTTAATAGGATGTTCCACTGACCCAATAACTCAGACTTTTCCAGGTAGGTCCTAATATATATATAAGCTCTTCCTTGACCTCACAAGTTTGTGACCTGAAATTAAGACACACCTTTTCTACCCAGTCTAGCATCTCAAGCCATGCATAATTGAACTATTTGATTTTTACCTTCTGGAATCATGCTTCCTGAAAGTGTTAGTTTAAAATAAGCATTGTACTTAATGTGCTGTTACTGGACATGTGATGCACTGTAACCCCTCTCGAGAAAAAGCATGCCCCTGGCTACCAGCGCATCCTGAGACTGACATCGCCAACTGCCCGGCCGTGTAACTGCTGATCAGCATGGAGGGAGAAAAAGACAACACAGTGCACTTGCTGGAGGGAGGCTGAGTTGTACCTGCACAGCCCCGCGCTCCTTCCCCACTGAGGTCTACCAAAGAGCAGAAATTGTAAGTCCAGTGTGCAGGCTCTGAGTTTCAGGTAGAGAGGCCACTGAAGCTTGGCCTCAAATCTCAATTCTGACAGTTTGAGCTGGAGAGGATGAGAAATACAACTGACCTCCAGTTGTGAGTTCCCTTTCCCAAGCCAATGTTCATAATTCCGTTTTAGGGGGGACAAGGGATCCCACAAACTAAAGGTCAATTTTTAAGCCTTAAACATTGGATATGAAAATTGAGGTTGGCCCCCTTCCATATCTCAGGGAGTCTTTTCTTTTAGCTGCACCCTTCCTCTCTTCCTTGTCCCCTTCCCCTCCTCCACAAAGAAAAGTCTTGTTGGGCGATTTGGAAAAACTGCAGACGGCACAGGTGGCCTGCCTGCCTTTACACAGGGCTTTATTGAACATGCCATCAATCATCTATTTCTTGCTTTTATAAGTTATGGTGAGTCACATTTATCATGCTTAATATCCACACACCTGGAATACTGTAAAACTTGGTAATTTGTCACGTTTGGACATTACTCCCACTGAAGGTTAAGTGGGATGTTTGTTTCCTAGGGCTGATGTTACAAAGTCCTCCTACAAGCCAGGTGGCTTAAAACAATGGAAGTGAGAGGCTCTCTTCTGTTCTGGAAGCCAGAAGTCTGAAACCAAGGTGTTAGCAGAGACGTTCTTTCTGAAGGTTCTAAGGAAGCAGCAGAGATGTTCTTTCTGAAGGTTCTAAGGAAGCAGCCTTCCTTTTAAACTTCCCTCCTCGCTTTGGGGGGTTGTAAACAATCCTTAGCATTCCCTGGCTTGTCGCTGCACCACTCCACGATCTGCCTGCATCTTCCTCACCAGCCCCTC